GTGTAGTCCAAGCAAAACTGACTCTTTTTTCGTGATTAAATTCGCATAACTATACTGCCTCAGCTGTGGAGAGTGATACAGAGTTAGGAGCAATGCCTACACTGCAAACAAAGCTAATGACAATAAAAGTTGATGTCAAAAAAAAACCAATAATTCGTTTCTTAAAAAAAAACTTTCATCTGCTAGAACTGCATAAATCGAGTCATTTTTGATGAGTTACTGCATATCACTTTGTTGTGGTGATGTTAATCTATGAATATCTACAATGGGAATTCTTTTAAAAATTGTCCTCTATTAGCAAACCTTATCAAACATTCTTATCTGTGGAAATCCCAACTTTGATCATCATTTTCATCAGAATAATGAAGAATAGCACACAATAAATTCATGTAATGTGATGATACACGTTGTCTTTAGATGGTATTTCACTTGAAAAAATAGGAGGAATTTGGTGTTGTATGATTGGCAAACCTAACTGAGTATCAAATATTTGGTTAAATGTTGGAATTAATAAATTTTAAACAATTTGACATTAATTGAGAGTTGGCAATAGACTCGACATCAAGTGTAGCCAACATTATAACAAAACACTTGAAAAAGAGGATACATTTTAATGTTGTCTACACTTGACGTCAAATTCATTGGAAACTCCAAGTATAATTAATATAAAATTGTTATAAATTCATTCATTTTAAAACAAAAATACCAAAATAACTATAGAATTGAACTTTTGACAAAGAGTGTTGCCAACATTCCACCTGTTTTGTCAAGTGAAATAGGGTGTATTAGGGTTTTGCACTTTAAAGATGAAGACTTTTAATATTTCATCTAACTTCATACTCAATACAGGACACTGGAATGCTAATCCACTAAAAATATACTGAAAGATTAAATTATATAAATTTGAATTCAATATTCAACACAGTTTATGAAGTACATATAAAAATAATTGACGAACATAATGAATTTTAGTATTTGAAACTAATAATATTTCTGCACGTTCAAGCAACAACTCAATCATTATGAAATATTATCGCAATGTTCTTAGTATTAAAAAATATTCTGTTGAAACTTATTGATAAAAGTCACATTCATTTGTGAAGGCTATAAAAATAAATTGCAGTGTCCACAACTTTTGTTCGAATGTAATGTGAAATGATAAACAATCAAGAATTTGTGACTAAACACAAATGACGTCTTTATTATTTTCATTGTATGGCCATTTTACTTCTTCACTGATTTCGTTAACAGTTTTTTAAAACACTTACCGGTGGTGGGAGTTGTTCATTGAGAACTAGCGGTGCTATTGAATTGTCTTCCTTCTTTTCTGAGAAGGGTTTCGTCAAAATAGTCATCTTCACAAATCCCCAAAGCAAAACAAAGATCAATACGTTTTCTGACAGAATGTTTGACTCGACTAATTTTCCATAAAAATAAATTGAAAAATACTAAAGAGTAAGTGAGCAAGCATGCGCGAGAACTGTATTTGGAAGTGGCTATAATTTCGGTTACCGGTTACAAATGATGACAAGTTTTATGTTTGTATATCAGAATTGATATATAGCCTCTAAAGACTAACTTTGTGTAGATATGTACTCAGGATAGGAACCAGAAACAAATATAGATGCCCGCCTATCCTTATTGAAGTAACTAGAATATTATCAAGTTGTTTGTTTACAAACCCCCTATAACTGTATGAGAATATACATATATCAGATCGTCTAAAACAGGCACTTTTTCCAGTAACCAGAACTGCAATACCCTCCTCGATGCGCGTTGCATCAACAGAGTTGGCGTCTTCAAGAGATGAGGAAAACTAATTCCTAACTCTAAAACAGTCTCTATTTGTATCTAACATGGTAGGTATACTCCACTTTTACTTCTCGAACACACCATTGATGTGTATCGATAAGAGTTTGTTTGCATCACAGACTGTAATATTGACTTGATTTTGTTTTAATGATTTTTGAAATGGTAAAACTTTCAATTTTCAAATATTTCTATATAATTCTCAAATATCAGGCGTAAATGTCCATTTTTTACCACAGTTTTATGGAAAGTTTCACAATTTTAAGGTGGGTCACCATACTAATAAGTACTTTACGAGTAATTACTGAATTTGCGAATATTTCCATCGACTTGTAGTAAATGGCATTTTCTGAGGATTTTGCGAGTATTTACAATTTTTTGTGAAAATTTCAGAGGTAATTAATTTTTGTAATTGAACATTGGAATGATTGTACGGGTGTTACTTCATCAAGTTTGACAGAGCGGAACCCAATGAATTGTGAATTCTGTGCTGGTATTGTATACAGTTTCGTTTTAAGTTACTTTGAACACAAAATACTGAGGTGTTGTCTGGCGTTTAATCCTTATTTGAGCATGTATTCAAAAACGATTCGTAGTGACGTCATTAATAATAAGATTCGCCAAAATGCAACGATTCAATTTGTGTCAGATGTCAAATTCAATAATAAAAACAAACTATTAAATTTTCTCTAATCTCAATCAGAATCTAATTGGTGCATACAATTTTTTGCATGAATATTACAAATGTAGCTGCATTTCGAAAACCAGTGTACCAGAATTCTTTTTTCTATTCAAAATATGAACCAACAACAAAATAAAACAGAAACTGACGTAACGAAACGTCATAGTCCGTTTCAAAACAAACCTCACGCTAGTTTTGAATCATCATGAATACGTTTCAGATCATAATTGATGTGACGTCATTGTTTCAACGCCGGAATGAATGTATTTGAATCACAGACGAATACGTTTTGAATACATGAGCGCCACAAAACGCCTCTACACTTTAACATATTGAGCTACGAATGACTGTCATAATTCAGATGAGTTGCGTGCTCTGGGTTCCGTGGTGGCCGGAAGTGTCGATATTGCCGATAACGTCCGTCCACAAAGAAGGTATGCGTATGCAATGTGTTATCACGGTGCTGTTTTTTGTGTTGTGATTGTCCATCAATACGTGAAAATTTTATCAATCTTATGTGGAATTAAAAGTTCAAAGGTTTCCCTAGGAGGAGACGACTAACGAAAAAAAATGTGTTTTTTCAAATGTAACAATAATCTCAGGGTGGCAGCAATTCTTGGATCAAGACCGCTGCGCCCCTCGACTATGGAGGGTAGAGGTAAGGAGAACCGTCTCATATGGAAGTAAGTTTGAAAAAGGTCCAACTTTCAGCAGTAAATAACGGTTCAGAAACCCTCTAGAATGGCGCTAGCATAGGCACAGGGTATGATATGAATTAGGCAGTTGTTAAATGATTGAAGCATGCTGAGTTAGGAAATTCAATATATTTAATGACTAGAGTAGTTAGTGACAGTATAATATACAAAACCTCACATGTTTACGTAGTCCAAACTAATTTCGATTATTGCTGTGGTAAAACGTGGAGACATCGATTGAATTTTCTTATCAGCTTCAAATAATACTTTTTTTTTTGATTTTGTAGTGCTTACTGTTACGATACATTGTAATAAATTGTAAGCAATATATTCTTCATTAATTATTAACATGAATTTTTACATCTTTTTTAAAACTGACATTTATGAAATTTACTATTATTATTTGGCTTTTTAAGACTTTTTTATTCTCTACTTTCTCAACTGTAATTCGCGCATGTTATACTTCCTAAATGTTCTTTGCATTTTATTTATGTATTACTTCCTGAATGTTATAGTGATCAAGCCTTTGATTCTGAAACTTCGGTTTTCAGTTTGTTCTTATTTTGCATTTCTCTGTCATATTCTAATAACTTTCAGCGGATTTTTTTAAAATTTACACTGTTGCTACTGTAGCGCCACCCTTATTTGGCACATTTCAATGGGCACTTTTTCACATACAGAGACGGTTCTCCTTACCTCTACCCTCCATATTTGAAAGTTTACCTTCAAGGACCCGCCAAATTAGCTATCACTATCGATAGATACCTTTTTTCATTCAAGATTTTTCAGCAGCAGGTCCTGGGGAAAGAGCGTGAAAGGAAGTGAAACAATTTTTGATAAAAAGTTGTTCACTCCAATTTTTTACGTGATTCGGCGAGATTAAAAGATCAAACAGTTTGATCTTCCTCTATTATACAAAAAAAAATTGAGTACCAGTTTGGAATCTATAGACGTGGACTACCTCATCAACTGGGCAAGCCAAGCCAACCCTGTTGCAGTGCCGCAAGAACATTGCGACGCCGAACTGCTCGTGTGGCCGCCAGTGCGGTGCGGAGTAATGCGGTACGGTGCGGCGCTGCACCGTCTAGGTCGGCTCTAAAATTTTTATGACTGTAAAGTTCATCATAAACTGTGAATGAAGACTGTCAGTAGATGAAATAAAACTATCATATACTAACGATATTCGTTTAATTCGCACAGCCTTCTCAATATCTTTGATGATCAACAAATAATATAAAAGCATATTTTCCATGGCAGGGGTAAGTATTATTTAACATTAAAATCCTCTCACATTCTGAATTGCAATAATTTCCAAGTCTGCTGACATTTTTTTATAGCTGTTGAATTCCATAGAGAAAGAAGCAGTTCCAGAAGATACAGTCCTCAGAACTGTCGAGTAACCCATTAACTCAGAAAGAGGAGCCTCTGTTAAAACAACTTTAGTGTTCTTCCGCATTCCAACATCTCTTATAGTAGCCCTTCTTCTGGATAAATCAGCCAAAACTGGTGATAGATATTCGTCAGGGGTGAGAATTTCCAAGTCCATGATGGGTTCCAGGATGTCTGTACCAGCTTTCTTGATCATCGAGGACACTAGCTGAGTTACTGTGGCGGCTATCATAGTCTCCGACGTACCTCTGCCAACCTCAATATAGTGGAGAACTACCTGGGAATTTACTACTTGGCAATTTATTTTGGGTCCATGTGCCATTCCAACTACAGCTCCTTGAACACAATTAAATTATTTCAAAATTGTGTAGTTACCCTGAGTATCTATTGTTACGTTTTTACCCGTGGGTTGTCCAATAATTGACTACACTGAATAATCAAACTCAACTTTATTTCACTTTGAAAACTGTTGTAAATCATGCCTGTAAATCATGCTCTAAAGAAAATAACGCCGGCCGCCACTGGTAGCCATAAAGCAATCGTGACGTAGCTAAGAGCGCGCGAATGTACGATGTTCCGTGCCGCTCTAGAAGCAGCAAGAATAATGCTACCGATTCCCATGGAACTTCGGCGAAATTTCTACTGCATTCGATTACGATATATAAACGCTAGCCTCAAGCATATTGACACAGTCAAGTGCAAGCTGCAGTGCGGTACGCGAAGCGATCTGGTAAGGCGATAGACATTCGACTAATAGTTGAAGTGTTTATTGTATTCAAAGTGAAATAAAGTTGAGTTTGATTATTCAGCGAAGTCAATTATTGGTCAACCCACAGGTAAAAACGTAACATTTCAGAATTATCCCACTTCTGACACCAAATGTTACGTTTTTCCTCTTCGAATATTACTTTGGGGTTCAGTATCAGCAGCAGTTTTTATCTCTCAGAAAAAAGTAATTAGAGAAATGGTTAGAGCAAACTACCGTGATCATGCAAAACCTTTTTTCATTGATCTAGAGGTTCTCACTGTCCCATGTTTATATATACTTGAAGCTAAATTATACATTCATAAAAATACAGATAAATACACTACTAGGGCAATGAAACACGGATACAATACCAAAAGCAATGAGATCATTAGAACAGCTAAAAGGAATTTGGTGAATACTAAAAAACAATCCGAAGCATTTTATGGCAAAATATGTAATACTCTTCCGCAAGAGTGGAAAAACTTTTCAATTAAAAAACTCACATTTAAGGTGAATCGGGCACTTGTTAAGCCAAGCATTTTACAAAATAAATGATGTCTTTGACGCAGTTTGGAAAGTTTAACAATTTAATGAAATGACACTTTTGTAGCTNTTTCATTAAGGACATTCATCACCATTCTACTAGGCACAACAGCCACATTCATATAAATAGGACAAATACAAGAAATAGTATGAACAGTTCATTGTTTAAAGGTTTTGTCCAATTCAATGATGTACCTGATTCAATTAAATCTACTCTATCATTAAAGATTTTCAAGAGCGAACTGTTAAAATATAATCATGATGGAAATTGAAAAATTTATTTTTGTTCAGTTAAAATGATGTACGTATATAAAATCGTATTATTTATATAAATTTTGTTGATTATATTATATTTTAAGTTAGCTAACCTGTATATTAGGAAATCCTAATTCAATAAATAAATTAAAAAAAAAGATAATGCACCTGCTCACTCGTTATTGATTATTCATAATTTTTTGGCCAAAAACAACACAATAATCATGCTTCAGCCACCGTATTCAATCCCCTGAGACTTTTTCCTGTTCCCGAGATTGAAGAGACCTATGAAAGGACAGCATATTGCGATGATTGGGGAGATAAAAACCGAATTGCTGAGAGCTTAAAGACATACCAAAAAATGTATATTAGAACTGCTTCCAGGATTGGAAAAAAAACACTGGCACAAATGTATTATATCTGAGGGGTACAAAATAGAAATTGATGAATGAATAAAAAAATTTGAGAAAAATGAAAGTCCACTTAATTTTTTCAACAGACCTTGTATTCTTATCTTAATATTACAACATACATCTATCTATTTAATAGTCTTAACTATTTTTCAGACAAAATCACCAAACTATAAAAAGTTTCACATAATAGCGGCTGCTCCTACAACTCATACAGCATTTGCGGTAAGTGTCATACACATACACATATATTTGGGTAAACATACATTCTTGATTGATTCATTCATTCATTCTTGATTCAACCTGTTCTGTATCTAATGATAAATTCAATAAACAAATAATTAGTACACCAATGGGATCAGCAATATCATCAATTTTATTCAATTATACTAGTTTACAGCCAATTTACGACTGTAATGCCGAAGGCAGTTCTTTTGGTCCCTAAAGACAAAAATGATAGTAAAAATTTCCTAACACATAAGATTTTTGCTTTGCAAATTTGCTTTTCCCCTAAATTGAGGAAATTGTTTAAAATCTGGCAACACAGCGGCTCTACCCAGTATTCGGATCTGCTTCCGCTGAATATGAGACTTGTAACGCCGTTTCTCGAACTTTCGATATTAAGAGTATAATATTAGTGTTATCTTTGTAAACGCAGTATCACATATTTGAGCTCGACATAAGCAACAATACAAACATGTAGAAACGTAGCTACGTTAATCCCGCAGATAGTTTTTGCTATATATGTGGTTATAGTCTATTTCAAAAGAGTATAGAGTAATAAAATCTCATTAAGTATTCAAAAGCGCTACAGGGTGATCCGTCAATAAATTCTGTCACTTCCCTAGTCCGCATTGCAAAATTATGTCGTTTCATAAAGAGCAGGTAGGTATCACCCTGTTTTAAGGGATTTGTCCATTGTTATCGACGGATAAATACTGAGCCAGAGGCGCGCTAGTGGGATAATTGCCAAAAGAATATGCATTCATAAAAATTATATTAAAGGAAATAAAAATTTAATACAGCAGAACAGTGTTATTAAAAAAATATAAAATGTAACAATAAAATATATACGAACCGAAATCGGGAAATACTCACAAACACACACGAACGAACTTTACGTATTGAAACACTTGTGGGGACTTTAAATCAATTTATTCACAAAAACGACAAGAACTTTACTGGATACGTTATTACA